TCTTTGGGTGAATCTGATATCTTTTATTAGACCAACTTAAATACTTGGAAAAAAAAATTTTAGCAAGTTTTCAGGTTTAAAATCCCTTCGTCAGGCATAGCCTTTTCCCCCCCTGCTTTCTTCCCCCTCCCCTCTCTGCTTTACCTTTTGTCTTTTTAATAATCAGTGCCTATTTACATTTGCACTGATATCCTGCCACACTTTTAGCTTCTCTCATTTCCTGGAGTCTCAGAACAGCAGAGACTCCCAATGCCTGAAGAAGGGTGACTTTGCCCAAAAGCTGGCCAAGAATTTTTTTCCAACTACTCCGTTGATCTAATAAAAGATATCACATCTACTCAAAGGGCCTTGCCAACCTTCTAGTCGGGTGCTTATCCGGTACCCAGCACCTCGCAGTCTGAGTGGCTGTTCACGATTTTCATATACTTGCACACTGTAAAGTCAGATATTTTAACTCGTATTATTTCTCCATAACCAATACCAATTATCAATTAATATTTCAGTTACTTTTTTGAATCAGCACTGTTAAAAATGTATGAAGAGGTGGACTTTAACTTGCTATGCTTGTTTTGTTTGGGGGGGGACTTGGGGGGGGTGTTAAATTGGAAACATATTTTTCTTCCAGCTGGAAAAGGAAAAAATGCAGTGTGTTTTTGACAGCAAAGACACTGTTGCCATCATATAGTCAGAAAATCTAAACTTGCAGCTGTCGACTAGCTCACCACTCCATTAAATGTTCGAAAGGGAAGAGTGCACGTTGGCAATATTGCTTGAGGAATGTCTCAAGGGCAGACGGTTCAAATGTTTTCACAAACAAAAATCTGGATGCCATATTATTATTCTTCTCTTCCTCCTCATAATCTCCAGTTTACAGTTACGACACAACCACTTCTTGGAGCCACAGGGATGGTGAACAAAACTCAGGCCAATCTCATCATCAGGAGAAGCTACAAATGAAGCACGCTCATGCCATTTTTGAGTTTTATATGGGTGCAGCATATGGATAACTCAGATTTTTTTCCTCATCACCTCAGAGCATGGAAGATTACCCAGACAAATTCAACCTGCTTCTGTGTTTCTGGAAAAAAAAAATTTCAGTGACAAATGTCTGGGAAGAGATTATTTGTGGCCAGCAAAAACTGCAATTTTGTTTCTGAGACATCCAATACCCAGAGGTCTATTCATCTTATCCACAAACATAAATTAGGTCCCGACTACGTAGTCCCAGGGCTTTAGCTATTCAAAAGACAATCCTAGGAAACACAGTCCTGAACTTCAGCCCATTTTTTTCACAGGACAGGTTGAGACAGGAAGTGCACCGAAAGTGCTTTAAAAACCATTTTACAGATCCTCCTCAGTATTTCAGGTATTAAACTATTTTTGTAAATTATGGGATTACTGTTCTACAGAGCCAATTATTTAAACCCATCTGTAAATATACCAGAAACAGCATGGAAGTTAAGTTGGACGGAGAGATGAGGAAAGGTGAGGAAAAACAATAGCCTGCAGAAAAAAGAAAAGAAGGTGACAGATAACACGTTCTTTTCTAACACTGGGACACAGTGAGGTCAGACAAACTCATCTTCTCTCAGGTACTTTACAGTCTTGTCTTCTTTTCACTTTACTTTGCAAGTCTCTTACCGGCATGTTTAGCTCCCCCTGCCCTGCCTGTGCAAGGTCCATCGCTATTACAACAGCTCTGCATATGTAACATGCAATTGATATCGTCATGATGGACCAGAGTAGAAAAATTCCCATTCCCCCAAAATATTATTCACATTAAACACTCACCAAAACAGAATCCCTACTTTTGAGGGCATTTGGGTCTATGTGACAAAAGCTTTAAAAGCATTAAGGGAACTCTTAGTTTACACAAATCCCAGACGGCTATTTTAAGAGTGGCCCAAAGGGAATACAAGTGGAATACTTGAGAAGAAGAAATATTATTTTTCAATAAGGTATAAAATATTTACTATCTGCCAGAGCTGGTGTGCTGAATGATTTGTGGATATTACTTTGACAGCTCAGTGTTTAAGGATGCATTTCATCCTACGTAGGCAATCACCAGAGCAGTATATCAAAACTTAAAAATCTCTTGCCAGTATAGGGATCGACTGCATCTGAAAACAAATGCATGCATGCATGCTTAAAGTTGTAAGTTATTTTAAAAATATTCCCTTTGGATTGTCTTCACAACCAGTACATTGTGTTGATCAAGCAGTGGAAATGAAGGCAAAAGCTATGGTAGCTGTAAGAAATGGGAGACGTCTCTCCTGTTATTTCTTGAGGCAGGACAGAGTCTGATTTCAACTCTTTGCCCTATTCCTAAGGGCTGTGAGCTTGCTACATCATTTCAGTTCTCTGCTGCAGGGGAAGAAGAATGCACCTGAGAGGACAGCTATCAGTTCCTGATGGCCTGGAGAGCTGTAACTAAGTGTATGGCACAGGGAAGTCACAAGAGTTTATCAGTTTTCCCATCTATAAAGGATAATAATACCTGAAGATCTATGAAGAAAAAGCACTCCATGAATACAAAGTATTAATTTCTATTGTTGCTGTTTTGTCCTTCCAATCCTTAGCAAAGCCCAGTAGGGAACTACTATCATTAGCCTCCTCTGTCTCAATGTTGAGATCCTTTGCTATGGGCATGATTTGTCCAAGTATAGATGACACTTGCACTAGCTAATGGTGTCACTGCCAAGTGATGGAAGTCTATCTCCATGCCCCCCAGTAAGAGATAAGCATTTTGATTAACACTAGTCCAGAGCCTGGGTATTGAAACCTGAGACTCAAATCTTTGTTTCGTGTTGAACCCACTTCTCTTTTGTGGAACTGTTTCTCACCAAGAGCATCTAACAAACTAAGTACTTCACTTCTTGGGGAAAGGAAAATGAATGATCAAAACACATGTGAAAGAATTAAAATCTAATAAAATACCAGCACAAATGTCTTTCACTTATTCAGCAAGCGTACAATGCTTTACAGCTGTTAGCTGATGTACACATAGAACTGGGCAACATCCACGGGAATACAGTGGAGTTTGGTTCACCATGAGATTGAGTTGCTATTACCCTTCATTTGGGGTTATATCCACTGAGCTTCAGTTGGACTTTGGGGTTCCACTGAATCAAGAAAGTGAATGAAAAAACACACTCCATACCATGCTTGGTTTCCAAATAATGTTAGACGACAGTGCTTCAGATGGTTTCTGCTCAAAAGATAAAATCCTCCATTTTCATATATTTAAAGCAAATCTGACCTTAATTTATACCTTCAAAATGAACTTTGAACTGATTAATTTAATCAAGTTTTGTGGTGAAAAGGCTGCAATGCTATACAAAAACCATAGGCTGGAACAACTTACACACCTGAAGAATCTTTCCTCCTGCGAATAGCTCCATTGACTTTAGTGGGGCTAATTAAGTGATTCAAATTTTATTCGCAGAGGTCAAGACTAAAAGATCTAGCCCCCTCGGGAGAGATTACTTCACACCAAACTGACTCACAGCCCCCTCTGGCATAGATGGCACTAACCCCTTCATAGTGCACAGGGAGAGAATTCCCAGCGAAGTTAGACAAGGAGAGGACAAAAGAATAATGCTTCCAGCTAAAATACATGAGAGATTATAAGCAGGCAGATTTTAACAACTGGGCCAGGAAGCTGGGGTTAACTCCTCTACTGCAGTCAAAAATGTAAGTGGATTTTTAGTGATTGGAGGAGATCAGGCCTTTGCTTTTACCTCTGATTCAGAAGACATCATGTTAAACTGAACAATGTTCTTACCACTAGGCAGCGGACACAAACTCAGCTGAGAGGAAAAGAAAGTGTGAGACCTACCGAATCACAAACTCAGCTTCTTGAAGGGCATGATGTATCTGTTCCTTGGAATATTCTAGCCGCAGAATGACCCAGCTCAACCCTGTTCTGCTTGTGTGCTCTGAGAGGATGATTCACAGCACATGGCAGCATATTCTGGCTGCAAGCTGTGGCTATTGTATTTGCTGCGTACTCATATTACTTTTTCATTGCTTGCTTTCTCTTTGGACCTCTTTTGGGTCATCATACACTTTCTATATACCATACGCTTTTATAAACTCAAGCAGCTATGTATAAACTGACCCACATGAAATGAGTAAGCCTGGAGGAAATTAAGAGACTGAGTCTATTATCAAATGCACCAGGGCACATCACTGTGAAGCCTGGAAAATCTATGAGCGCACCAGCATGCTCAGACGCCTGCATTAGTCCCTTACCCTTCATATCAGATATCCAGGCAGCCCTTGGAAGCCTTGTCATTTATTTCCTTTTCCACTGCTGAACATCAGCTTATGAACTCCAAACGTCTGCAGCAAGGAGCTCAGTAGGGAATGTACTCAGCCTCTCAAAGACAGAGTACTTCGTGTCATACCCAGGCATCCCTTCCAGCTACTGCTCAGAACTTGGCAGGGCTCTAGAGACAGCATAACAAACATTAGGAATGGACTTTTTGGGACCCCCCATAAAAAAAGTCAATGGCACTTTATTATAAAACCCCTGGTGTTACAGAAGTTCTATTACATTCAATTGTACCTACATTAGGTATGTCCTCAACAGTAGGTATATTTATATGTCTATATTTAGTATAAGTGTTATACCTACACTGGGTATATACTAAGTATATTCTCTGTGGATATTATCCTTTGAGTTCACAGGAAGCTCCAAACAGTACACAATACTGTAGTGTGTCTCCTAGGGCACTCAGGCTATTGTGAGCATATCAGATACACCTTCTGCTTCCCAAAGAATTTCTAATCAAGGGGAAGGTCTTGATCCTTCTGTAGAGCTACTCAGTGGCCTCACCCTGAGATATCCAAAAACTGACTTAAAGCTACTGGATGGAGACCATCATCAACAACTTTGCTCCTCTGGCAAAAACGCAATTCTAAAAGAGTGATTCTCAACCAGGGTGCTGCGGCAGGGTGAAATCCTTGACAGCCAGGAATGAGAACCGGGGGTTATGCAGTCTTAGCACTGTCAGGTGTCCAAACACCTATACAAGAGTCACAAGATAAACCCAGAAATTTAAAATAAGAATCCATAGTGACTACAAGAGGTCAGACTGCTTTTGTCACTATGGATTGTTATTCTTTTGTCACTTGTGGATTCTTAGGGCAGTTCTTTGCACCAACAGAATTGCCCTATTATTTTTCCATAGTCAAGAAACAAGTGAAAGCTAAGTGCCGGCATTTTCTGAGCGGGTGCCTGGAGTCTAAAAAAAGGTTGAGAAGCATTGTTCTAGAACAAGGACAAAGCTTATCTGTGCAGGACAGAACTTGCTCAAGAGTTGGTCTGAGACTGCAGAATGACCTCCCCTAGCAACTATCACAGGCCTCACCACCTTCTGTTCCAAGTTCAGGACCCATTCCTTTGACCTTTCTGTGGTTAAAACCAACAAATAATGCCATGCGTGCTCGTTGAAATAACAAACACAAACAGAACATAAGAAAACAAAACCAGAAAAGTCTCTAGCAAAACATGACACTCCACGGTGCACTCGGTTTCCTGTGGGGAGAGGAGGCAAACAAGCCACATGACAGCTGGTAGGCACATTGCTTTATGCAGTACAAGAAGGCACCCAGCTACTGCAGGAATGAGTTCAGTTTGAGAACCTCCATAAAATAAAATTCCAAGTGTACTGGTGACATTTAGCTAGTAATTATTTCAGTGCTGTCTCATTAATCGGAGAGGTATGTGAGTCAAGTTCTCAGATACAGTCCTGGGACTCTGGAAAAAAAATGTTGTCTGGAGAAAACAAAGGATTGCTTTCTTGTGTGACCTGGTAGAAATCTTTGGGTTCATTTCTATGGTGCAAGGGAATGCTGTGTGTTATTGTGGAGACCCCTCAGCTAGGTCTCCACAAACTAGCCCCCGAACTGGAAGCATAGTCTAGCTGAGAAACAGAGTCTATTAGCCTGGGTGTAGTGCTGTGGCTATGGTGTTTCAGTTCCAGATCTAGGATGCGCAGAACTATCTGGAGCATCTCTGTACCATACTGCCTTGTAACAGTAGACCGTAATACATAAGCGAGCTCTGGGTGTCTCTGTATGGTACTGCCTTGCATCAGATCAATATTCCCTCTGTTCATCCTTTATAAAATGGGGTTAGCAGCAATTTCTACGTCACAGGAATGTGGTGAGGATCAATACATTAATGACTCTGAGATAATTACACTAACAGGACCATATAAACATCTTACATAGATACGTCAATGAAAATGTGGTGTAGAGATATGACTGACTGACACGTTCCTAGCTTTTAAAGGATCAAGTACAACATTCACCTCTACTACGTGTTTCAAATGGTCCCACATTTAAAGCTGACTGGAGAAAAAAGTAACCAAGTGATTTACACGAATTACCCGGAAGGTAGCAGAATCCAATAAAGCAGTGACAATGATTTGAATGTTTTATATGCTTCTGTGCAATTCTGCTGACGTAGCTCTACACGCTGTTACACAATGAGCTATCATTAGTAGAAAAAAAGCAATGGACTGCAGCTCTCAATGAGACGCAGCAAAGACATTATGCAGTTTTTGACTGTTTCCATTGACATATCACCACTGCACTTATACCAGGTAGAGACAGCAAAGATCTCCTCAGCAAGTGTTTAAAGGACAAAGATGGATGAAGTTCCTCCATCTACACCAGTTCTGACCTATTTAAGAGTGGTTCTTTAACACATGTTTTAAACCAGTTTTTCTTTACCAGTATTGAGTAGGCATTAAAGAGTGGCTTTAAATAACCACTATTTAAACACATTGCTAAAACTTTTCTCTGGAAAGATAATTCAAACATGCATCAGAAATAAAAGTTACATTTGAGTCAGGCAAACAAGTTTAAATAAGATAACAGGAACCACTTGTAATCCAGTTTCAAGTGGGACTTGAAAATGCAGATTCTGCGTAAAATGACTCAAGGATGATTGAGCTAAATAGATTTCTTGCATGTGACTAGTAGAACCGTTGTCTGGTGGTTAAAGGACAGGACCTCTGTGGACTTTTGGAGATGTGAAGAAAGGGCTGTCCCAACACAAGGCTTCACCTTCAAAAGGTCTCAAAGTTGATCTCTCTTTTTTGTGTCTGAGAGCTGTATTTTGGTTTATAGGTGATAGAATAGCTACTTTTCATCTCAACTCAGGTCTCCATGAGACAAGGCACAATGTATGTGCTTTGTCTCCTCTTATTAGGCTACAGCAATTGTGGCCACGTCTACACAAGACACTGGCCGTACAGTTGTTACTGTGCAGTCATTTAGTACTTGTTTATACAAGTTACTGTGCAGCAGCTCCAACAAATGGCTTTTTTGTGATGCTGACTACACAGTAGCCCAAGCCTACTGTACACTAGCATCGTGTCACACTTTCCACCAAGCGACACTACTCTGCAGTAATCACAGGGTACAGCGCAGTCAGCATCTCTCAAGCAAATCCCAGGACGTCATTCTCAAGCACATCCTGGGACTTCACTCTCCCTTTGTACTCGGCCTTGGTGAGGCCGCAGCTGGAGTACTGCATCCAGTTTTGGGCTCCACAATTCAAAAAGGATATGGAGAAGCTTGGGAGACTCCAGACAAGAGCCACACACATGATCAGAGGTCAGGAAAACAGACCTTACGACAACAGGCTGAGAGCCATGGGGCTCTTTAGCCTGGCAAAGCGCAGGCTCAGGGGTGATCTGATGGCCACCTATAAGTTTATCAGGGGTGACCACCAGGATCTGGGGGAACATTTATTCACCAGAGCGCCCCAAGGGATAACAAGGTTGAACAGTCATAAGCTACTGCAAGACCATTTCAGGCTGGACATAAGGAAGAATTTCTTTACTGTCCGAGCCCCCAAGGTCTGGAACAGCCTGCCATCGGAGGTGGTTCAAGCACCTACATTGAACACCTTCAAGAGCAAATTGGATGCTTATCTTGCTGGGATCCTATGACCCCAGCTGACTTCCTGCCCCTCGGGCGGGGGGCTGGACTCGATGATCTTCCGAGGTCCCTTCCAGCCCGAATGTCTATGAAATCTCATATAGACGCAGCCTCTGAGAACAAAATAGAGGCTATATCTGCATTTCAGGGTTCAGAAAGTAAATCAATATCAGGATGTATACAATACATTTTGTGTCAGATGGTTTTCAGCATTGATACAATTTTCTATTTTTACTTGATCTTACATGGTATTTGTGTGAGGAGCTTTGAATATTGCCAGCAGGTACTTGCCATAGAACTGTGTCTTAACATTTGCCTGCCTGTCTTCAGGGAGTTCAGAAGTAGCTGGCTTTCCTCTGGTTCTCCAGGTAGCTACTACCTAGGGGCAAAGTCAGTGATCAGGATAAGAATGGAAAAATCATGTCAGTTGTGATATAGGATGGGAATAGATCATTAAAAATCTGTGGCGGATTTGTGATAGAAGTGGGAATGAAATAATGTCATATGGATCAGGATGGTACTAGAAATCACACATTTGCTGCCTATGGCATGCAAGTAGAAAATCTGTTCACCAACTGTAAATGGAGATGAGAATGGGATCATTTATTATGGATCTGGATAAGAAGGTAAACTCCAGGTCTGATATAGGAGGTGGAAAAGCTATAATCCATTGAGGCTTGGTTCTGAAATTTAAGAATTCTGGTTTCTTAGGGGAATCGGTGTCACAAGTCAGTCTGATTCCCTTCTGCAGAAGGGAAACAATACATAGCTGACAAGATAGCTCCAAGAACAGATGATGACTAGTTAAATTACACTAAATAAAGCAGGCTGCTGTGACAGCAAAGTTTGCTTTTTTGTGTCTAACCCTCTTAACAAATGTTTACTTAGACTGTTTTTTTTTTATCTTTTAAAACAAGTTTAAAAGAGACTCAGGAATCCCTGACCATCAGCATAACAAAAGAAGCACTAGCTTATGCATACCAAGGCCTTCATGTGAAAAAACCTCAAGTTCCCAAAAACCTCAGTATACAATTCAGTGTGATGTGTTTTAATATGAATAAGCGCCATCTCCAGCAACCCTTTACGTTGTTTAACCAGACCCTCTACAAAAATGTGTGTTCTAAGGAGATCTATTCCTTTAACAAGTATTTCAAAATGTGTATTGCTACTGGGTTTTTTGGCAATATTTTTATACTCTAGCTTGGCTTGTAGAAGGATATTTTTGTAATAAAAGGGCTTTGGTCACATGTAGTGCTACTCATTCAAGGGCACCAAAATACCTTTTTTAAGGCGAATGTTATCACAGGTTTTCAAAAGACCAACACCTTTAAACCTAATCCCTCTCATCTCTGATTTGGGTCCAGTTTCCTAGGTGCTTGTTTTTAGAACATTTTGGCCTAAATTAGCTGTTTCAAGGTCAACAATGACTTAGTATCAGAAGGGGGACCAGAACTCTTGCCTTCTACTTGCTAGATCAGGGGGTGGCAGCCTATGGCCACAGACTAAATCTTGATTTGTCTTGATTTGAAGCCATTTGATCTAGCCTGCAGAGCAGGAGCTTTGGTGGCAGGGAGGTTCAGCAATGGGAGGCTTTGCCTATGCCATGCTGCAGCTGGGCAGCAGAGAAGCAGCAGTGGGAAGAAGTGGTGGAGATAATGACTGGGTCCCAGCACAAATTCACCTTGAGCCCAAGCTGTGTCATTCTGGCCCATCTCCAGAAAAATGTTGCATTGCTGACCTCTGTTCTAAACTATTCAAAATGCATTGTATTTTTAATAAGGAGTACATCCAAACAATAAGAATAGGCCTGTCACAGTAACAATAAGAGAGAAGAGAAATGTGTATGCTGATGCATTCAATTCCAGAGCAAGTCTGCTACAGCAAAGTGGCAATGCCATTATACCTGTTCACTGTTCACTTTTCAACCTGCCGTAAAGGGACTAATGAGAATGGAATAGGTGTGGAAGAGAAAACTCTTGGGCTGTTCACCATCACCAGCAATTCCAAGATCTTTTAACTTTCTAGACTGTACATTCTCTGGGGCCAAGTCTGGCTTTATTTATGTCTAGTACAGCCCCTGGCAGTTCCTGCTCAAAAGCACAGCTCTTGACAATTCTTGAATTGGTCACTATTCCATGCACTCAGATTCTGTTCTAGCCAACTCCATGTGGTTCATCAGTGATGGTAGCAGCATTTTAAATTTTCTTCAAGGAAGAAACACACCAGCCTTTCTACTATACAAAATTCCAGTGTTTTAATTGGATGAGCTTAAATTCATATTGGAGAATGACAAGGCTCTTAAAGACATATGCTAGGGACAAACATTGAAAAAGCCTGAGCCTGAATTGATTCAATCTTTGCAGGTTAGTCTAACCAGTTTGCAACTGTACAGACATTCCCTCTGGACTGAGGAAATGCAGGCACATGCCTGCAATGGCTCAGGCTAGAAGCTGGTGGGCACTAGAGCAGCCCTCCCTCCCTTCTACAATGCTGAGCTGGGGGAGGGGGGGCATGGCCAGGCCCCAGCAGGATGTTCTGATTAGGGAGGAGTATAAACCCTGACCCTGCCTTCACCATCCCGGGCTTTTTCCTGCTCACTGCTAAAGGGGCAGGAGTGTTGACAGAACCCAGCTAGCACTCTGGATTTGACCCAAATCAGTTAAGTCTGACACTACATTCAACCAGGTTTATCTTAAACCAGTTTTAGTCATTTTGAAACTGGTTTTTGTGCACTGAACTTATGTTCTGTTACTGGTTGAAACTAGTTTCTGATTACTTAAACCTGCTTATGTGTAATGGCTGTCCCTAGCCATAGTGTACACAAATAAGATGGAATATGTACTGTAGGATAATGATGTTCACGCAGAGGTAAAAGACTTCTCAAAGGGCTCCATAAGAGGGTGGTTATTGAGGAGCACAGCCTCCTGCAGTTTGTGTAACAGAGTTAGCACAGGTCACACTGTGCCCACAAGTTTATCACTATTCTGAAAGCATAGGTTTCCCACATCCAGGAAGAAGTACTAACCACCAGGCTACCATGTAAAACCTGGCTTCCACTCCCTGAATTATGCAGTGAAAAGGACAATGGCTGCCACTTTTCCTACTGAAATCAATGTTGTTGATGTTGGTCAGACATGTTCAGAGCATACCTACAAGATCAGGAGCTTAAATACTGCTCTGCTTCAAATAATTGAGACAGGACATAAGTAGAGCGCTAGGCACCTTCCTGACCACACCAGGGTGCTTTGGGGCAGGCACAGAAGCCAAGTTTAGATGTCTAGGGATGTTTACAATTCAGAATGAAGGTGCCTAGCAGGATTTTGACCACAGGATTGTGAGTAATCTGGACTGCTTTTTGCAACTTGGATGGCTAAATGCTGCCTAAATCCTGTTTAAGTGCCTTATGTGCCAATCTGTATCTGACCCAGAGATAAATTAGTGTAGTAAGGCCCACATCTAAAACCAAGTCAGTACTCATCTTCCAAATTCCGATTTAAAATCATGTTCCTTGACAGCCACATGTACCCAGTAAATACCATAACCTATTGCACTAATGGCTTGCCTAGTTGCCTCAGATCTGCCTTGAACAAGAAAAGGAATAGACTGCAGTCCTCTATACCATCCACATGGTCTCATAGGAAGAAATAGAGCTTCTTGGTCCTAGGCTATCTGTGTAGGTTTTAGAGGAAAGAGAGAAAGTTATCTCCAGTAATATTCTTCCATGCAGTAGTTATTCAAACCCTAAGGTACTTAACTGCCTCTGGTTGCTGTGATTAGTTTAACTGTGAACACCAAGGCATGCAGACAGAAATATGATATAACCAAGACTTTGGATTTTTGCCAGTCAATCCCAAAAGTAGGGAGGTTAGAAAGTATTTTCCAAGTGAGAAGGCACAGATACATCTGCATAGGTTTGTGTGAGAGCAGAATAGGATGGGCTGATAGCCACAACTTATTTTAAAGTGTTCCCCTTTGCCATGTCAGGCACCCACTTCAATTTATCACCTTCAAAAAAAGAGTCATTCTTTTCATAGATTGGCCTTCTATTCTGCTGACTTTAAAGTACAGTTTGTGAAAGACAGCAATCAGCTAGAATAGCTCTTTCTCTATACCACACAGATATCTCTGGCCCGCTACTACTGAAAACAGGGGACTGTTTTAACTACTGTGATACATGGCTTTGATAGCACATTTATTTAATCTTGAATAGGGTAATTATTATCCTCTTTCGTATTAATTCTGGTTCAGTGGCAGCTCATATGCTGTATAGTCCATTATTACTACGAACGTATTCCTACAACATCATCACCCAGTAAGTCTGCTTCCTGGGGCCTTGTCACACAGCATACTTAGCAACATTCAATCTGTTGAATGTTGTGTGGTATTAAAGCTCGAACTTGTTCTGAGCAGGTGCATGATAAAGTTTGGTGTGGCTTTTTCCCAATTTTCTGACAGACAAGCACAGAGGACAACAGCAGTTGACCAACCGTATCACTGAGGACATGAATTCCAGCCCCTGCTTGGCCTGGCATAGGCTCTCCAATCCCTCATTGACCTACCATTCTACCTGGGATCAGATCTCCAGGGGCTTCCAGCAGATGAGTAGCAAAACCAAGCACTCTAATGAACATGCACACCACACTTTGGCAGTGTGAACCACTGGCTGTGGTAAGGCTCTACTTTGAGGATTGTGATGCTGCTATGGGCATTGAGCTAGCCCATTTGCAAGAAGTACAATGCAACACCACACAAGCTGGGGAGCTATGGGTCTGGAATTCGATGCCACATCCTTACCTCTGGATAATGATTATCATGACCAGTAAGCTCAGACTGGTAGGAGCAACTTGTGCTTGGACCCCAGGACAGCAAGAGTGGCAGCAAAACTTTAGTATGTCCCATGGCACGCTCATGGACTTCCATGCCAAGCTGGGCACCCTGCTCCAGTGCCAGGACACTGGGCTTTGGTACCCCATGTCCAATGAGCTATGCATAGCCCTGGTGATTTGGAGTTCTTCACTTACTGGCTAAGCATCTGCTAGATGGTGGTGGAGCATGACTTTGAATGCCTAAAGGTTCACCGTAGGTCCCTGGGGGGGTCTACCTTAAACTCAGGCTGAGGAACATACTTAACTTCATGGCAACCACCTGCATCCTCTACAACATATGCAAGGCAAGGGGGGAATGAGTTCCTGGAAACCAGGCCAGCTCCAAACAGATCCATGCTGGCAGAAACCTCTGGCACTTTGGATGCTGTCTGGGCTGATGAAATGCTCCTGACCAAGGATCCCAGACAGAGCTACAACTTATCAGGGAAGTCTTGGCTGACTGCTTTCTTGGACCGTGTGTGTCTAGTTGGGAGGGGGTGCAGGGGACCTCTGTGCAATTTTGAGCCCTTCCTTCACCATGCTGTACCTTTAACGTGCTTCTTCAAAACATTTCAGTAAACAACTTTCATGCTAGCTGTTGGGCTTAACACTCCTTGTTGTGGGGGGAGCTAGGGGTGACCTGATGGGGTGCTAGAATGAGAGTGCTGGAAGACTTGTGGGGGAACTAAGGTCTTTCACCGGGAGTTTGTGGGGGCTGGCTGAGAGGGGGAAGCCGAGGCATGAGCTGTGAGATGGGTTGGGGTTATGAGCAGCTGAAGTCATGGCTTTGACAGGAAGCCTACAAAAGACAAATTTCAAAACCATGTAAACTTTATTTCTTCAAATACACGTGAAAACAAAGTGTATCTCACAAACAACTCTAATGAACTTAAAACTCTTGATGTTGTGCAAACTGTGTAAAATGTGCAATTGCACTAAATGTGCCTTGCAGTGCTTTGGATCCACCTAAGTCCCTTATCTAACTGGCCGTGGCTGTGAAGGTTTTTAGGAGTGCTGTGGCATGAACTGACTGGTCCTTGGAGCAGTGCATCCTGGGATGCTGAAGAACTTGAAATTGCTTATATTATCCCCATGGAGTAGGCGAATGGTAGATGAAAACATGTTCCTGAATACAATCTGGAGATGCTCCTTGTCTGAAAAGTTGTAACTTGCTACAATACACGTGCACTTAGCACATTTTACCACTTGAACACATGGTCACTTTCATTTTAAGTAAATTTAGCACAGATTAAGTGTCCTGTGTGACATAGCCCTTGATTCTGCCTGTGTTAGACCTGGAGCCTAACTCTACCAAACCCTATAAGATAATGTTACTGACCTAGGGTTTGCAGAACAGGACTGTAGCTTTTTACTGTGACTGACTCAAATGCAGATATACATCCCTCAGAATCTTTTTTTCAAACGTTAACAGAAATCTTTGGTTTGATGCACAACTTTCTAATTTGTAGGACCCTAGGCATCTAAGCATGTATAGCTATTGTAACAGTAAGTGATTTTCTTAGATGAGATAACTCTTATGCAAAGTTAAGCACGTGTACAGGTGTTTGGGAATGGGACCCAAATATGATTACAGAGTGGAAATCACCAGTGTATTAGTACGCATTAAATAGAAGCTTTATTTGTGTCTTGCCCTGAAGTACATTGTAAAACAAAATTGCCTCCAATGGATGTCACACACGAGCTGAGCACAGATGCCTTCAGGAGTCACTTAGGAGTGTCTGAGAACATTGGATAGAGTTAGGTAGAGCTGTGCTTTTCCCTCAGTCACTGCAATGCACTGAATGGAAGAAAAAAAATTGTATGCCTTGGTCCCTCTGTAGGCACTTGGGCATTAGCCAGATCAACCTGAGCTTAGTAAAAAAATAATTATTAACAATCAAATAAACCTCTTATCTTGTGTTTCTGACAGCATTGGACAACCTGAGAAAATTCCACTTTCATTTGGATTCATGGGAGAACAAGGACCTACACTGAAACTGTCAGCTAATGCTGAATGGCTTGAAGGGATGTAGACCCTCTGGAATACAGAGATCCCTGGCAAATTGGCAATCACACTGGAACAGTGCAGCTGTTCACCAACCCTACTGAAGCCTATACATTCAAGTTACAGTTAAGCAATGTAGAAAATGCAGGCAAGCTTTTTACTTCCTGTCCTTAGCTGGAAATACCAGGGATCATCATTTTTATCATAGGGCAACCAAACAGTTAATTCATAACTGCCATGAAATATCACTGGCTACAAGGCTTTTTATGAGGCTTTTTACAAGGCTTTTTATGTTTAAAGGCCAAGACAAAAGTGAGGCACATGCTCATTAGGGAGCTCCTTTTTGCTGATGATACTGCACTCACTAATGAGTGCACTCACTAATGTGGCAGGACCTGCAAGTCTAACATCAGTCTCTACAGCCACAAGAGAAAATGCACCACCAACAGGTAGAACAGCTACAGTCTCCACCATCACTTGCTGATGAATAGATGTCATTATAAGGCTTTTTAAATGTTGCCCAATTTCAGAAATGGTTCCATGCGTTTGCCTTTTAATTATGGTCACTTGGTTCGTTGGCCTTCTCAAACAGTTCTTAGCACCTACAGATGGTTTCCATGTACTGCTGCCACTATATACCCTCAAGTTAACTCAGCAACTCCTTTTCTTTTTTGCAGTCAGTTTGCTTACTTGCTGTTTTGTATCACAGCAATTACATTTTTCCCCTTTGACTTATCAACTCTCTGTTGCTTCCCACCTAATGGGTTTGCTTTCTCTGCTTGCACCTGTCGGATGTTAGCAGTGATACGATGTTGGAATTCTAATCATCCCTATACATCATCTTAAGTCAAAGAATTTATCGAGCCCTCCATTGCTTTGCTGCTAAGCTTTCATGGTTAATTAAAGTAAAGATTATCAGGATCTCTCCTTACCTTTTCAGACAATTCTTCAGTTTGGCACTTTGAAAAGAAAAGCAAAATCAGAAAGAATATCATAGCTATTCCTCTGGTACAAGGCAGCCAGAAAATTCAGAGTTGGTTCATGCAGAGCAACAGTGAGCTGAGTTTGTTGTGATTCCTTGGGTTGTACTATTTATAATTCATGAGTAGATGGCCACTAGAAAGTCATGCAAATCCAGAGGGTTTTGAAGATTTTATCAGGAATGATTATTCAGAAGAGAAATCCTACTGAGTGTGCACTGTTTGTTGCTGTTATTTGTATGATGGTAACAAGCCCTGTACAAATAACACAGCAAGAAAACTTGCCCTGAGGAGCCCCAGAAGAAACAGACAAGACAGCCAGTAAGTGAAGACCAGGAAATATTAGCATCCCCGATTCATAGATGAGGAGTGGAGACATGAAGGCCATGTCCAGACGAGTGAGCACATGCCTGTTGCAGTGCCTCAAAGCAGTTTGAGATGCCACAAGAGGCACGCTCGGAATGAAAAAATGTTCCCAATGCTGAATATTTGCAGCACAGACTCTAAATTTGATACCAGGAAATCCTAGTATCAAAAAATAACCTGCTGGGAAAAAGTGGCACAGGGTACACTCCTGGAGCATGCCCTGAGGCAACTGGATGCTGGGTACTCCAGGGAGATGCATGTGGCCAGAATGTCTCTATGGCTTCTGTGTGGCCCTGCTGCTCCAGCTCACCCCAACCTCACAGTCCCCCCAACTTCACAGCCCCTGAGGCAGCGCGCTGGAGTAAATAGGAGTGGGGCAAGGCTGCAGCAGCAGCAGCTCAAACCCAGGCTCTGTCCCTGGTAAGCAGGCACATGGGGGTGGTGGGGACTATGTGTGGGTGGACTGTGGGTGGGAGAGATGACTCAGGAGGGGTGAGTTCCCCCCCAGCACAGTGCACAGCCTCCCTGCAGCAGCAGCGGCATTGGGGCACTCTTGGCTGCTCCTGGCAGAGACCCCCAGCTATGTGGTTCTGCTTGATACCAAGGGCTGCATATGGTGCAGGGCGCTGGCCCAGCCTGCTGAAGCATGCTCTCAGACAAGTCCAGGCCACCCCCTCAAACCCTACACCCACTCACAAACCTCCCAACCTGCCCCACAAGCCCCCCACCTACCCCACACCCCTTCCCTCCCCAACCCCACATCCCCCCAACAAATCACACACCTTGTATGCCCAGCCACAAGATGGGACAAGACCTACTGGCAGGAGCTGCGGCTGCAGGGGCAACTGCCACCTTGCAACCCTGCCCCGTGCCCACACTGGTGCTGGGACATGTGGCCCCAGCCTGAGGGGGGAATGCTCCTGGTCCCAGGAACAACTTGGGGGTGGTGGTGATGGGATGGAGGGAGGTATGGAGGTGGCAGCAGGAGTACATATAAGAGAGAGCAATGGGGGTCAGGGACGAGGGAGCAATCCAGATAGAAGAGGCAGCCAGAGCTGAGTTCAGAGCCCCCCTGCCCCCTTGGAGCAGCCTGTGCAGGGGGAGGACAGCCTGGAAGGATAGGGGCTTGCCCAGCCCAGACCCTGAGCCCAAGTGAAGGGCTTCCCAGGAGCAGCATGGGGACTGCTGGAGCATGGGCACAGACACAGAGCAGAACAGCAAGGCCTGGTACTGCTCAGAGCCAGAAAGCAGCAGGTGGAATAGCTGCAGCTGGACTCATGTCCTTGTGCTGGGACAGAGCTGCTGCCAGGAGGGAGCTAGTGGGAGCAGGCAGGAGCTGCAGGTCAGGAGTGAGGGGCAGTGGTGGAGTTCTGGGTTGGGAGTGAGAGGCAAGGGCAGGGATAGGGCACTGGCATAGCAGTGCTGTTCTGCGCCCCACATCCTGGTGACTGAAGGAGACAGAAGCAGTTCTGATTTTTTCTATGATAAAAAAAGCAAAAGCAAATGCCAAAGTGTATAGATGTATAGAGTTTGTTTTATGATGATGATAGAGGCACTGCTTTTGATAGAGCAAATCAAAATTGCTTTAAAATTATAAATATATCAATAAAACATTGCCCAGCTGATTTCTCTATATATAGTGGTGTTTCATTTTAATCACAGAAGAACACAGATTTTGAGTATGTCAATAAGAGAATCTGGGGTTTTTTTATCAGAGAATTTGCTATTTTTAAACAGGAAACACCAGGATCTCTGCTAGTAAGGCAAATGGTGGGACCTGGGCAGGCGAGCCTGCCCAGGGCCAGCACCGGGGACCCAGCTGGAGGACAGATAAGGTGGCTGACCTCCTGGCCATTTGGGGCCAGGAGGACACAACAGTTCAAGGCAGGCCACTGCAAGAAGCACATCTGGGTGATAGCTGCCCAGGTGGCAGAGTGCAGGCACCAGAAGACATAACAGTAGTGCCGCACAAAGCATTGACAACACATAGAGGGCACACACAGGTGTATGCGCACCCCTGAGCTTGGCAGTGCACCCCCTGCAAGAAGCACTGCCAACGCTGCTGGTGGCACCTGCAGGCCGTCGCCGCTCACCACCCCCCTCACCACCGACACCGCTGGCGGCATCTGTGGGCAGTCCTCGATAGCCACTGGCTCCCGCCAATGCTGCCAGCAGTGTCTGCATGTGATTGCCAACCGGCAGTCAGCACTCCCCTCCTCCCTGCCCTGCCGACGCCACTGTGGCTACCTGTGGGAGCTCCTTGCTCGTCACCACCACAATCCCACCGCCAACACCTGAAGGAGGTCACCATGCTCCCCCAGCCTCTGAGGGCATGTGACGTTCATGACACAAAGGTCACCTGTGCAGCCATGGCCCACTGACAGCTGGCCCAGAGGTGCAGGTGGCTCTGCTACAGTGCCTGTACCACAGCCCAGGTGCCCGTGCGGTCCCCATCTGGGCCTGGCAGGCATGCAACCATGGGGCTGCAGGTCTAAGGGGGTGGGTGCTGTCATAGGTGGCAGCAGGTCAAAGCCAGGAAGCAGCCCCCACTGCCAAACTGCTGCAGTAGGTAGAGGGTGCAGGGGCCACTCTAGGGTAGGGCTCCTTCAGCAGTCCAGCTGGCACAAGGGACTAGTGTCCCTAGATACCAACCAGTGAGCCTCAGAAGCTCCTGAGGGCAAGTAGCCCTGAGCTGCTCACCAGGGCAGGTTTTTATGCTGCTGGGGCCAGTACAGGTGCTGGCCCCAGCCTCTAGCTCCCCCTGAATGAAGATCCAGGAAAAGCTGGGCAGGGTCAGTTTGCCCCAAGTGGCACAATTTGCCCCATACCAAAGTACATGTTCAGGCACGTGTGCTGAGGCACAATTCTCCAGCACAAATTTGTACCAGTGCTATTTGAACTGCTGCAAGCACACGTGCCTGCATGGGTGGACATGCCCAAAAAGGCTAAATAATTTACACAGCATATCACCTTCCATGTTTGTAGATCACAGGATATTAAAACTATTTCTCCTGAGTGCCAGCCCAGTACCCAAATCACAAAGTCACCATTCTCTTTCCGAATCAGGTACAATTTTCCTATTTTCAGCTACCCAATCATACTGCAGAAACAAAATCACATGATTCATTTCATAGATTTCATAGACATTAGGGCTGGAAGGGACCTCGGAAGATCATCGAGTCCAGCCCCCCGCCCGAAGGGCAAGAAGTCAGCTGGGGTCATAGGATCCCAGCAAGATAAGTATCCATTTTACTCTTAAAGGTGTTCAATGTAGGTGCTTGAACCACCTCTGATGGCAGGCTGTTCCAGACCTTGGGGGCTCAGACAGTAAAGAAGTTCTTCCTTATGTCCAGCCTGAAACAGTCTTGCAGGAGTTTATGACCGTTCAACCTCGTCATCCCTTGGGG